TGGCATGTGCTATTGGTTGATCTTGGCCTATGTAGGGTCCGGTCCATAGGGAGTCCAATTTCTTTGATCATCCTAGGCGAACTGTTTCGTCGTACAAGAGGACTTTTTCTCCTGCCTTGAGTTTGATTTCTTTAGTCTTTTTATCATAATTTTTTTTGGTTTTTATTTTTTTGTTCTTCAGATGCTCCTTGGCAACTTGCTGTGAGGCGCGTAATTTTTCTTTCAATTCTTGCGCGTAATCATCGTATGTATACGTGGGCTTAGGCGGTTGCAATAATGTCGTCGGTAATGTTGCTCGGTGCCCGTAAATTAATTCGAAGGGTGTGAACCCTGTCGCCGTGTGCTGTGTCGTATTATACATAAACATCGCGTAGGGAATCCATTCGTCCCAATCCGTTTGATCGGCGTTTATATAATGTCGGAGATATTCGGCTAGAGTGCGGTAAGATCGTTCTAGCGCTCCGTTGCTTTCCGGATGATACGCGGTTGTTTGGATCTTTTCGATTTTTAGATATTCGGCTAGAGTCCGGTGAGATCGTTCTAGCGCTCCGTTGCTTTCCGGATGATACGCGGTTGTTTGAATCTTTTCGATTTTTAATAGTTTGCACGTGTTTTTAAATATTTCACTTAAAAAATTTGTTCCTTGATCCGTTAATATTTTTTCTGGGATACCGTGTTCGAAAATTATTTTCGTCGCGAATTCTTTTGCAACTGTCGCGGCTTCTTGATTCGGTATCGGAATTGCTTTGCTAAATTTTGTTAAATTATCTTGAAACGTTAAAATATTTATTTCCATTATTAGTAATCGTTAGTGGACCTACGATGTTCAACGCACATTTTTCAAAAGGTTTATCGGCAGTATCCGTTATTATTAGCGGCGCCTTAATTTTTCGCGATAATTTGTTTTTTTGACAAAATTCGCATTTTGTTATATAGTCTTCGACATCTTTTGTCAATCCTCGCCAATTGTGCTTTCTGCTATCCTGCTTGCGCATGCGCCACCCGTGCTGTCTCGCTTGCACGTGCGCCACTCGTGCTATCTCGCTTGCACGTGCGCCACACGTGCTATCTCGCTTGCACGTACGCTACTCGTGCTATCTCGCTTGCACGTACGCCACACGTGCTATCTCGCTTGCATGTACGCTACCCGTGCTATCTCGCTCGCACGCACGCCGCTCGCGCTATTTCGCTTGCACGTGCGCCACGCGTGCTATCTCGTTCGCACGCACGCCGCTCGCGTTATCGCGCTTGCCCCCACGGCAAACCGACTGCCACCGACGGACCGACCACGCGTAGTGGGGGCGCCGGCCGGGTATATAAGCCCGGCCGGCCGAGACATCGACACTAGGTCCTGTCCCGGCATCCTGCTCCTGTCACCGACCTGACCACTACCTCTTGGGGCTAAGGTTTTCTTAGCTCTGCCAGGCTTTCTGGCTCTCTCGACCTTCCGGGCTGAGGTTTTCTCAGCCCTGCCGGGTTTTCCGGTTTTCCGTTGCAGGCGGAGCTCGACGTGACACTCGGGCCTGCCGGCAATACCCAGCCGCCTAGCCTAACCGTAGTAATAAGTGCATGTAGATACCGCGCCGTAATTATAAGCCTGCTAGAAATAAGTCCGGTTAGCTATAAGACCGCGCCTGCGAATCACGCTGTAATTATAAGCCCGCTAGTAATAAGTCCGGGTAACGGTAAGTCCGCGCTTGCGAACCGCGCCGTAATTATAAGCCTGCTAATTATAAGTCCGTACCTGCGAATCGCGCCGTAATTATAAACCGCTAGGAATAAGCCCATCCGGGATAACCTCGTCACGATTAACCCGCGTGTAAATACCGTTCCTGTAGATACTAAGCTAACGCGTATGTAAATAAAATCCTAGTTAACTCAAATCATCCGCTTCACGCTGCACGCCGCTTCGCGCCGACCGCTTCGCGCTTACGCTTCCCGCTGCGCTCGCG